AATTTACAATGTGAATGAATTTATTTGAGGCTTCGTTTTCACGACATAATAAGTATATATAAGTATTAACGTAAATAAGTATTTTTTCCTATTAAAAAATAATATTTTGGCAAGCTATCATTACAAACATTGCTTTTGTAATCACTGCGTCGACTCTTATCAATAATATCATTCTTTGCACGCAAACCATTTCAAATCAAAAATCAAAAGTGCATCGTCAACCTGCCCATTCTTACGAATTTTTTGACGTTCACTTACTTGCTGTGACATTTTATCGCTGAATGACACTTACCATTTTCTCAATTTTTAATGAGCAAATATGGTGCTATTTATGGCCGTGCTCAAAAAGCGATCTGAATTACTTTTTTTGGTAATGATCACCAGCATAGGTATCGACAGTGGACTAAATTATTCCATATAATTTAAAGTCTTTCAAGTAGCATCCAAATGAGCTGAAATGCTCTGATACCACATTTCTTTGTGGTAAGCCATCCGTCTGGAAGTATTTCTCACAGAAACTTTACAAAACTTTTAGAAAAATGAAAGAATAATTGAATTTTAACTTATGATTCTCATACAGACTACATGAAATATTTTTTATAATTTTCGTTAAACTCATTCCACTCCTCTTCATTTTCATTTCATATTTCTCTGCTTTCTCTGCAATCAATCTACTACCATCGTATCTTTGCATAACCAATACATTTGATAGTATTGAGCTCATGAGATTTGTTCTGCATATTTAATCCAATTATTTCAGTCTTTTACGACAGTGAAATGAGAAAAAGCCTGGTGGTATGACTATGAGATTGATTGATACTTTGCGTACGTATTGCAATGTTAGTTTTCTCTTTCAACCGTTTATTTCTTTTAAAAGCTTTTAAATTCTTCAATGATTCACCAGCAAATTTATACATATATATGTGTAAATCTCAGGAAAATTTGAATGGAACTGTACAAGATGACTTTGGTTGTCTTCGAGTTATTGTCTTACCTATTGTACCGTGCACATTTTTCTGGCTTCTACTACCAGTTTTTTGCACACAGATTTATCGGATTCGAGTAAATAGAGGACTGCGTTCTAAGTCGCTACCATGGACAGTCCTATTGATTACTAAGACTGTAAGTTTTCTGCATTGTTTTTGTAAACCGACTTAGAATGGCAACCAATGATGACTGCTTTTGAATAATCAAATACAGTATAAGAAAAATACGGGGAAATTGATTACGGACCGGGTAAAGGTTGAAAAACAGAATGGATAAGTAATGATTAAAGCCAGCATAGTTATTTATAGAGTAATCTTGTAAAACAGTTTGAGTAACTTCTCAAGGAACAGTAAAGCATTCAATTTAATCGTATACCCAAATATTTTAGGTACTAATGATATATTTGTTAATAAGCGCACTTGCAAAACTTGTTATTATTCTATATTATAATGGAAGCAATGCAAATACACCACTCATTGACTTTCTATATCCATCCATTACAGCGCTTACTACGGTCAGTCTAATAATTTGCATTAAAATTGAGTAACCTAAATAAACTAATTTATAACATTCTATCATAACAAATTCTATTGAAATCAAATATAGATACCCATTTTGTTGTTTTAGTTGGGCCTGTTTTGTTGTATTTTAATGGCACGAAAAAATGGAATGATTACCTCTGGCATAATACATATTACGTTTATACTCTTCACATTGTGTGGCTTTCCGGAATACTTTTTCGGATGGCAAGAAATCGGCAATTTAAAAGTTCCCGTTTTTCGTGAAAATTTGCAAATTTTTATTTTATCTGAAACTTGAATGATTTCATGTTAGAAAATAATAGAAGTTACTAAGTTCTAATATGGTCATATGGATGAGGAAATACTACAAGCCAACAAAGCTAAGGAATATGATATCTTCGAATACATAATTATACTTGGCCAAATCAAGTCATCCATACCTGATATTTTTCAGTCAATGCAAGACATGGACAAGGCTTGTTTTGTCTTTCATCAGGTGTGGTATCCATTTGTCGTCGCTCAGGCATTATTGTTCTGTTTTGCCGATTATCGAGAGCCATTCCTAATTGAAACAAGAAAACAAATGGTATTTGTTTACCATAAGATGAAAGAAAGTCCCGATGATGGCACTGCTTTGAGTTTGAGCGTAATGATCCCGTAATTGATCATAATCATTAAATCTTTTGATTCAGTTAGTTCAGAATTAAAGGGGAAAAAAGGGCTTTGTGTATTCGGACTCTCAAATATTTTTAGGCTAATATTTTTTATTTTTGATAGAAGGAGCTCTTTTTTCAACATCCCGATGAAACTTTGTTTGCATTGCCATATGGATGATTTCATAATGACAGTCTCTTTTCACCATACCGAATGCAGTAAAAATTTAAAAATTTTGTTACTAAATTTTTAGAAATTCAAAAAACTGAATTATCGATTATCGTCCTGATAAACTGTGATACAGATAAACTACATTTCATATTGCAATACACTCCGGTTTGCATTCCAGGAAATTCAAATATTTTCCATCTTAGTGCGCAAATAAGTGACATCAAGGAAGAATGCTTACTAATATTTAGGACAGAATCTTTTCAGAATCTGTCACCTGAACTGGACAGCTCATTCCTGAATCGTTTATCATTCTGGTGGTTTACAACAATTCAACTGCTTGGTGCTCGAAAAACATTGGTTATTGATGATTTATATCTGCTTAATGAGGGCAACATTGCTGAATATTTGTCCACCAAATGGAAAAAACTGTGGGATCCCGTTGTTGAGGGTTTGTATTGAAATTTCTCAATAGAGTCCCAAAGCCATATTTCACTGTTAGAAACAGCGCTATGAATTGGAAATGATTTAAAAAAATGAATCGAAATAACAAGATATTTTGTAATAAGAATTAAATTATATTAAAATTTGATTTTTTTTTAAATCTTAAAGGAAGTATTTTTTTAAATTTTAATGCAACTTTTTCTGTTTATTTGCAGATATTAAATTCGTTGCAGATTATCGTAAAAAACAGTTTTATGAAAGCACGCTGCAAAACGACAATACTTCTAAATGCTCCAAAAAGTTTGATCTTAATTTGAAGAAATTAGGCTTAGATCTGCATAGCTTCAATTAACCATACTTTTCAGAAAAAATGGACCGAAACCGCCATCAGTCGTGTGGCGATTATTTCTTATGTTTCGCTTTGAAATTTTATCAGCATCAGCTATCAAAATGCTATCTGATGTGATACAACTTGCTAATCCATTTTTCCTTAAGTACGCAGTTTTTCAGAATTCTCAGGAATTTTGAGGAATGATTTCTAAAACTACTTTTGTCTTTTCTACTTGGACAATCAGACATGGCAAGGATTGTCATGGCAAGGATTGAAATGAAAATCTCTTCAAGAAGGGTCCTTTCAAGTCCTTTTGAAATCCTTTCTGAAATAGCGGGGATAGTTTGATAGCCCCATTTTGATTCCTCCTACTTATTAGATGCTACCTTATCAGTTTGTTCATCCTTCCATGCATTCGCTCGTAAATTTAATCAAATTTCTCTGGAGCAAAAATCTGCAACACTTTATTATTTTTACAGCTTATTACTAAATTACATAGTAATTGGGGATCACATCTTTATGAAAGGTATAGTCTATGTGTTAGCAATGTTTGCATGCGCTGAACTTCGCTCATTCTTTCTCAATTACTACTTTTACCTGATGATGCGAGTGGGTATCAAAATTCAGTCCACAATGATTACTGCTATTTATCGAAAGGTTTATTTCACATGGAATTGTTTCCCTGTTTATAGTATTAACGATAAATGAAAAACATTCTAAAACTTTCCCATTTCAAAGCTTAAATTTTAGATTTAAAATCATAAAACTTAGTTGTCTCTTCCGTATATTTTGTTTATTCATATGCCAAATTGAAGACATTACGGCTGTCGAATTCGGCTCGAAAAACCAGGACAGTGGGTGAAATTGTAAACCTAATGGCAATTGATGTAGAGAGCTTTCAGTCCTTTATGCCGTACATTCAGCAGTTCTGGTCATGTCCATTTCAGGTATTGTGATTTGATTACTTTATTTAATTTGGCTTGTTGTAACTCAGCATCATGATAAATATCCGCACCTTCACTTCCAATAGTGACGTAATTTTACATTTTTCTTAACCTCCGAATTTTTTTTTTTGCTCACTGTCAGATCTATTTCTGCTTCCATTAGTTCACTGTTCATGATTTTGATACATTTTATGTATTTTTATACTGATACAATCTCCTTAGTTTTTGTCGTTCACATCTTTTCGCATAAAATTCCAATATTAACTCTGTTTGCAGATTACGATAATCTTAATATATCTTTTCTTTACCATTGGAACATCAGCCGTTTGTGGCGTTATTGTCATGGTTCTGTTCTTACCACTGAATGTTATCATTTCAGTTGTAGTCAAAAAATGGCAGGTTTGTTTCCTTTCTCTTTGGAAAGTTCCGCTTTTGCTTTTCCTTTTCAAATTTCCACTTTCCTACTTTGTAGATTTTAAAAATACTTTACAAAACGAGCAAAACTTAGTTTCTATCACTTTTTTCAATAAGTTTTTCTCATAACTTTTTCTTTTTCTTTATATCGACTTTATATTATTTGTTATTATTATTTATTTTTATTTATTTATTATTACTATTTATTAATATTATTTTTTATTTATTATTATTATTTCTTTATATTATTATTTAGACCGAACGAATGAGCTTGAAAGATGAAAGATTGAAAATTTGTAATGAAATACTGAATGGTATAAAAGTAATTAAGCTCTATGCCTGGGAACTACCAATGGAAAAAGTTGTCGAGCGTATTCGACGTAAGGAGCTTTATTTAATCAGAAAAATAGGCCTAACTAGGGCCGTGATCGATGCCATGAATACTTCCTCACCATTTTTTGTGAGTTTCTTTTTGACTCATAACCTTTAAAATACCAGTGTAGTGCTAAAATCTCGGGAGTCTTGTCTTTGTTTTGTTGTTTTAACTGAAATTTAAACAATAGTAGCAATCAAACAATCAACGACTTAAACATAGATGAAAGGAGTCTGACAAAAGGGATTATGATTATGGAAGTGTTATTACAACACTAGTGATAACCTTCTGAATTTCTCTACGGAAAATTTTTCATGATTCATAATGGAATCTCTCCATTAACTCTTTAGCCCTCAGGGCCTTCTCTCTAGTCTGAGATGTCAAAAAATGATTCCTTCCTAATAAAATTATAAAGTGACTCATCACAAGTTTAAAGTTATTAAACACGGATTTACTCAATCTTATTTTATTACTACTGCATCGTATCCTGTCATAGAAAAAGCTGCAATTTCAGGTCGCAATGCTAACATTTGCAACATATACATTATCAAGTTCCACTCATATCCTCACACCACAAATCGCATTTGTTTCATTAACGCTTTTCAATCAACTGCGCTCACCAATGGCAATGATTGCATGTTTAATGAAACAAATGGTAGAGGTAACTTAATTTGGTTTCAATTTCCTTCAAATTACTTAGTCTTGAAGTTCCCAATCATCACTCCACGTGAAATCATATTTTCCAGCTTTCCTAGCACTGCTTCATCACCTAATATTATAAATGGAATTTCTGTAAATATCAGCAAAGTTTCTTCTTTTGTAAAAAAAGGAGTAAATTAAATAATTTTGTTTTTAGAATAGGTAACACAATTATTTCAGGCAGTAGTAGCAAATAGACGAATTAAAAGTTTTTTGGTGGCAAATGAACTCAATCCATTAACTATTGATCATATCACTGATCAATTCGGTTTCTTTCTTTGTTTATTTTAATCTTACGAAAAACGAATGAAAGAACATCGTTTAAATAAGTTATAAAATTCAAAGTAATATTTCAATACTAATGGCATATATTGTAGTAATTGCGATTATTGTGACTTCTTTAAAAAATGGTTTTTTTTAAAAAAAAAAGAGAAAGGCTAATTTAGATGTAAGAAATGCAGTGGAAATCAGAGATGCTCGTCTGAGTTGGAATGCTAGGCCATCGGATACGGTATTAGAAATCGATCATTTCATTATACCAAAGAGATCTGTAATCGCTGTGGTTGGCAGAGTTGGGAGTGGCAAAAGTTCTCTTCTTAGCGCCATTTTGGGTAATTTGCGCTGGAAATAGTAACTTTAAATTTTTGTTATTTTTTTTCCAAAGAGTTCTCGCAATTATAAAATCTTTGTCAAGATTGTGCAATTTATTAATTTTTGAAGGTTACTAAATTTGTCAGCCGTTAACACAAATTAAGTTCATCGTTTAATGGTAATAAAGCCAGACGTTAGTATGAAAGAAGCCTGAAATGTGATTTACATAATTTCTACTCCAAATCTTGTAGCTTTTTTAACTTTTCAATTTCAATGCACTGTTGTTAAATATTATCCAAAGAAGCATGCTTATAAAAATAAGTTCCTCCTTAGAGAAAGTTAGATTTGTGTCTTGAAGGGATGGCTGAACCCCTCAAATCAGAAGAACAAGAAAGCCGAAATGCAATTCCTCGTTCTAAATGCAAGCGGTCATTTGAGAAATATTTAGATGGCAAGAAATGATTTAGTGTAAATCATATCAAATCTGAGCCAATCAAAAAGACTTTTTCAGGTGAGATGGAGAAAATGAAAGGTTACATCGGTGTATCTGGTCGGATAGCCACTGTTAGTCAGCAACCGTGGATTCAGAATTCAAGTTTTCGCGATAACATAATATTTGGGAAACAGTTTGACCGGAAACACTACGATAAAATTATAGAAGCCTGTGCTTTAGCAAAAGATTTGGCCATTCAATCAAATGGAGATGCCACTGAAATTGGTGAAAAAGTTAGTGGAATTAAATGATTTATAACTAAGAAACTGGAAATCATCAATCAAAATTTGTATAACTTCCTCTCCTCCGTTGATTCCTATCATTAGCATTTAGGGTATCAATTTGTCCGGTGGTCAGAAAGCGCGTGTAGCTCTTGCTCGAGCGGTTTATCAAGATCGTGATATTTACCTGCTGGACGATCCACTATCAGCAGCAGATAGTCATGTTGGAGAGCATATTTTTGCAAAGGTGATTTTCGGTTTATTTGTTTCTTTTTTTAGTAGAACCAGAAGATATGTAGTGGCTTAAGCGACAGGAAAGGAATACAAAAAGCAGGTTGAATGATGACATTTTGTTTATTCGTTTTGATTTTCCTAAGTGTATTGGCCATCAAGATGTAAAATATTGCTTTTTTAATAAAAAAAGATGAAAAAAATTCAACCGTTAATATTGGAATCATCAAATGAGGAAGAAAAAGAGGAGAGGGAATATATGGAAGACTTTCATTAATATCACATCATACTTATTGATTTATTCAGTACTTATTTCAGATTTATTCATCATAATTGTTCATAATTGTTTGTTAGTCATAATTGTTTTTTTTTACACATTGATTTATTCAGTATTTTAGTCATTCTGTATACAAATCAATAGGTCCTTCATTCCTATTCATATAGGTAATCGGTCACAATGGATTATTGCGACATAAAACAAGGGTTTTGGTAACGAATAATTTGGCATATCTGAATAAAGTTGATGTTGTTGCTTATATGCAAGGTGACTTATTGGATTTTATATTTGCAAATTCATTGTTCGGCGAATAAGGGAAGTCTGATTTAACAGTAATTCGTTCCTTGATTTCAGAAAAATTTATATCTTACTTTGAAATATTTCAAATGTAAAGGATAAATTGTGCACAGAGTTATTGATGTTGTTTGAATGAAAATACTGAGGTAAAAATGGTTTAACAGTTTGCAGATAGGAAGTTAGCAGCATTTGGTCCATACAAAAAATTACTTGAGCAATCCAAGAGCTTTTCAAAATTTATCGAAGCATGTCAGAGTGGAAATGAAAAAGGACAGGAATTGAAAAGAGAAAGTGAGGGGAGTGATTCGGATGACCGTTCACACTTGAATAGTATGCATTTGCAATTTTTATGAATAGAATTCAAAATTTCATCATGTATTTTAAAGTTCGAAAACTGCTTCCTCTTTACTAGAAGTACGATTTCCATTTCTAAACACAAATTCGCAGCAATGTGCAACCATGCCATTACAGTACTTCCGGTACTGTATGATTGTACGCTAGCTTAACTTTTTAAGCATAGGAGGTTAAATTGTTTGGATAATGTTATATGGAACAAAGCTTCTCAACTGCAAACTAAAATCTCCATTTTCAATTGGCTGTTCGGATGAATCTTTAAATTTTGTTGCAGAATACGAGGAATCTGAAGCTGAGAATCTGAATGAAAGAAGTCCCATCAAGTTTGATCCGTGAGCTTCACTACTTTTTCTTCTTAAATAGTAGAAATATAGAGAAGATATTTTAAGTTGGATTCAAAATTTGACAAATTTTCCAAGCCATGAATGCATAAGACTGATGCTATCCTTTCTATTGCAACATTCCATATGTTTAAACTATTTTTCATTGCTATATTGGAAGAGTTGCACTGAAAGATGCAATCTTTTTTAATGTCCCATTATAAAATGAATTCTTTTTTCTATTTACATTCATCCTTCTCAGTAGAATGAATGTAAATAGAAAGTCTAATTGAAGGATGACAAAGTTTTCTTTTTCTAAGCCGAATTTCAACTTTATCAACATTGGATCGAGAATCGTCACATATTTTCCATCATCCCACCACAATGAAATCGCTTTCGGGTGGTCTGACAAGCAATGATAAAAAGGAAGAAATGGGGAAAATGATTGCAGCTGAGAAGATTGAAGTTGGCAGAGTAAGTTTTGTTTGAAATATCCTGAAGGAAGTAGTGCTTTGATAAATAAATAAAGTAGAAGTATTTATCAAGTCTTTGAAATTTAAACATTTGAATAAATTTGCATGTCATTACTCAGATACAGTCTAATTGAAAATTGTAAAGGCTGCAAGTAAATCGAACAATTAGTGGCGGCAATTTTTGATCTGAATAGAATAACCCATTGTTAGGTCAGAAATAAATAATATAAAAATGTTTTTAAGGTAAGATTTGGTGTTTATACGCAGTACGCTCGATCGGCAACTGTTTTAACGTCATTTCTGTTTCTTTTTTTCTTCACATCTTATGGAATTTTCCAGATAGGACGTGGATTATGGCTATCTGAATGGTAGAGAAATTATTTAAGATTTCTCAATAGAATACTTATAAGAAAGAGAATAACTGGTCTTAAGCATATTGTTAGTCAATTTACTGGTCAGTTCTAGTTTTGCTGTCCACTCCATCGCATCTATCAGTGTTTCAAGTTATAATTTTTTTTTCGGTCAGATGCAAATGAAATGGCTTTAAACGATTCAGAGATGAAGCAACTTCCTCTTAAAGCAGGTCTTGGCATATATGCTGCTCTCGGCTTCATTGAAGGTGAGTCTAAAGAAGCTGTGACTTTCCTGAAAAATTGTTGTCATTGCTTGGGTCATCGCTAAAATTTATTTTTTTTTGGAATAAACCAAAAAAGCAATTGAAAAGAAACCATTTCAGTGGTGAAGTACAGTTTATAATACACCTTCTCCAATGTGCATGCAATTTATTGGACTTTGTTGGTGATGAAATCACAAGAAAAGACAATACAGCTCAAATATCAGGCGTTTATTTTTTTAAGGCTTTTGTTTCTTTGGTGCAGGAATATTTTTGGTGATAAGTGGGCTTCGAGCATCGGAAAATCTTCATGCACCGTTACTACATCGTTTGTTACGTTCATCGATGACATTCTTTGACACGACACCTATCGGGCGTATTTTGAATAGGCTTGGGAAGGTTTGCATCTCTTCTCTATCTATCGAATTCGAATTAGAATTTCCTAATCGAAATTGGCTTTTCACTTGACTAGTTGAGTACGACAGGAGTAGGCTGAATACCATCAAGTTTAGATTGTCACTAGCATAGTTTTTTTCATCATTTTACTGTTTTATATATTTATCTTTTTTCTATTATTTGTTTCCAAACAAAAGTCTTCCTGAGAAATCTAAAACGATTCCCATACCAATCAGAGACACGAAGTTCGAACGAATTAACCAATGATCTGTCAGTGTTCTTTCAGTTTTCTACTTTTTCCAGGACATTGATGTGATCGATGAATTATTACCAATAAGTTTTCGTTATTCTGTTTATTGGATTGAAAATGTCATGATAATATTAATCATAATAGTTATATCAACCCCTGTTTTTGCTATTACTATTATACCTCTTGCACTTTTCTACTACTTCTTTCTGGTATGTTTATCTCATCTCCACAAATTTATTCACTTGTTTTAATATGAGCAATCTTCTTTCAATTAAAAATTTTTGACATCTTCAATTTAATTATCATCATTTGCAGCATTTGTACCTTCCCACTTCGCGACAGATAAAGCGATTAGAAAGTATTAGTCGTTCACCAATTTATCAACATTTTGAAAAAACAGTTCGAGGGCTTATGTGCATAAGAGCATTTGAAAAGGTAAGGTTAAGAATACTTTATAACCATTCACACAATCAAAACCAAAACATTAAAATATTCATTGTAAGGTTTTTTTGGATTGATTCCATTGGTCTTCATTGCTGGCCTCTTCCATTACGTTTCTAAATTGAATGATACGATTATCCATTGCTTTGGATGTTGTCGGATTTCTTCCTGAGGTTCATTCCTTATATCGTTCCATAAATATTCATAGATTTCTTTGGTACTTCGTTGAATTAATTTCACTATTACTAAAATGAAATTTAAAACCGCATCTTTCCTTTACGGTAGTTAGATAGGCGGTGGTTGTCAGGTTGTCCTCTAGCATTGTCCTCAATGTGATTTTTTATCATCGTACCCATACTTTCAAAACAAGGCCACCAAAATTATTAAATCATTTTGTGAAATTAGTTAATTAATATTGTTAAGTGAATTTGTTGATCAATATATTAAGAATTTTATTGTGGTTATTAAGTGGAATTAGTTAATTAATATTAAATTAATTGATTAATATTATTAAGTAAGTTTGTTGGCTAGTATTATTAAGTAAATTTTATTAAGTGATTATTAAGTGAAATTAATTGATTAATAT